ACAGATCTTCCCAAGAAGTAACAAAGATAGGACAGCTAACTTGCCAAACAAATGCTAACAGCTTCTTCTGATGGATTAGCATGCTTACAACATATGAAGAGGCATTCATCGTTACAATTTCCAAATTCAGCACTTACCATTTTCTCAAAACTCTGCTCTTCCTGTTCTTGTTAGTATCAGATAAACTCAGAAAATAATGTTGGCCAATTAATAACAGCTTGCAGTCACAGCAGGATTTATATGTATTGCTGTTCTACATTTATATCCTTATTACAGTTTATATTAATATTCGCTCCATATTTAATTTTAAATTGCTATTTCAGTTATGTTTGTCTTGATTCAGTTATACTCTATTTGAATTGCAGTGTATCTCATTTTCTGCAGCAATGCCAGATACTTGATTATTGGATGTTTCCCAAGGATAGAATTTTAATTTAAGATCTTTTGGGTATACAGTATGCATCCCACAACTGTCAATATACACTGTTGTCTATTAGAAGTATGCTATGCTTCACCTGTTTGTTTTGCTGCAGTGCCTTCATGCACAAACTCATCTAGAGATCTAATATTTGACAATGAGTTGACCTAGAACAGCTAAATAGTCACAAAATACTCTTCCATTTACTAATTTGCTAAGAACTGCATACATAGGGTTAATTTTTAGGTGGTAAGACTTTTGGAGTGTGCTTTGACATTTGGTTATTACTTAAATACATCACAATGTGCTAAACTGTTTTCAGTACATGCAATGGCAGCAGAACTTAGATTGAGGCCACCCTGGAAAGAAGGAAAACACAGAAGGCCTTTTAGATCAGAGTTGAAAATTGCAAGTTAAAATACTGACTGTTTTCCTCTTAAAACATGTATGTCTAGAATTGCAACCACTAGTGCAGTAGATACGTAAACTCATATTTTATTCCACCAGAGTCTATAGTTCAACAGATAAGCATGGTGAACTACCAGTTCTGTGTATCCTAGAAGGTAGAAGGTTAGATTATAATATGAGAAAGTATTCCTCTTTATATTCTGCTGTGCTGAACTTGTAAACCACACAGTGGAAATTACCAGTGAGTCCAAATTATCTTGCTTTTCTAATGCATCTCTACAGGCTTCAGAGAGCTACAGAGGTTTTGGTGAAAGGTGGGGGGCGGAGTGGGGAGAACCCTTTAGTACCCTCACATCATCTATACATGTTGCACAAAAAAGATTAGGGAACAAAATAACTGAAATAAAAATGAAATTTAGTATTGTATGGGAACTCTCCAGTCTATTAGTTACTGGAACTATAAATTGTTCTAACTAAATACAATGTGCATCAGTGATCTATTCATTTATTTTTTTTACTACAAGAAATTTATGTTACTCAAGTGAACTGTGAAGCTTGATACCAATATTTATTTATGAGACTGCTTAAATTCAGATTAAGAAGTAATTTGCCATGTTGAGGAATAATAAGCTAGCTTCTCTTACTCACATTTTCACAGAATCTCTCTTCCCTAGGACTAATGTGTATTAGTCTTCACAACCTAATGCACCATATTACAACACTGGTACACAGATTGGCTTATATATTGTAGAATACATGCTCACTTAAACATTTCCAGTTTGATACAAAGAAATAAGAAATTTGCACAATTACTAAGAAGGGGAAAAAAAATCTCATGCTAACAAATCAGAATTCATCACATTAAAAAAAAGAAACAGAAAAAAAATCATACACACAAACCCAACTTTATCAGTGGTGCTCAGACATTTAACACTAGGAAGGCTGACAACACTCTGGAAAACCAGGGAGGCACTTGTAGAAAACCTAGACAGCTCAATTAAATCTACTGAAATATCATGATTTGTCAGCAGCATTACAGCTTTTTCTTTTATCATAGGAAGTACAGTTCAGCAAAAAATATTCAGTGTGCTTCTAAAAAAAAAAAGTGAAATATTTTTAAAACAATGAATTTAAAAGAACAGTTACCTGCAGAAACAGATTCTCTTTTTTAATTTTACACTGCGCCCTAATCGTTTAAGCTCATGATTAGAAATTCTTAAGTACAAAAGTTAAACAGTCTGATTTTTTTTTTCATAGCTAGACTAATGCTTGAGACCTTGGGAAACTGCCATAAAAAACTAAAAATATTCTGTAGCCATTAACTACTATAGATATGAAAGATTATTCATACACTCTAGAGCTTGAAACTACAAAATCCCCAGCAAATTTTACAAGATTGAAGGCAAGTAGTCATTAAATCTTCATTTCACTCACACCACTGTAAAATATAAACAATGTAGTATAGAACCCTCCAATATGAGACTAGCCATATGGTTTGCTGGCATCTCATTCTTCACTGATGAAATGTAAGAAAGGTAAGGCGTACTCCTTTAAAAAAATTCTAAAAATGTGTAACTATATAATTTGGATTATTATAGCTTAGATACATTTGTTTTTCATTAAAATAACCTTTAACTATGCTTTTTAAAATAAGAATTTACAGCAACAGGGACTCTCATAATTATGACATACTCTTCATTTGCCTCATTAAAATATTGGATGAGTAACTCCCCCATGTTCTGGGGAATGGGAGAAAATAGATCATTTTCTGAGTTAAGAAACACTAAGATTCCTTTAGAATAAAGCCCAGTTTTTTTCTCCCCATCACACTTGTTGGTTTGCCATGTATTTCTACATGCTATAGCACAATTGCAAGGAAGGAGATCTCTGTACAATAGCATTACCAACAGCAGTGTTCTGTATATAACACAACTGGATGAAGTAAAATTTCTTGTGCAAACTACAATGCTAAAAATAGCAACTCATTTTTTTCTAGTAGCCATACCCAACAGACAGGATTTCTTTTTCTTTCACTTGATCACATCCTCTAAGATCTCCTGTAGCTTTTCTTGCCTAATCTTTAAGAACCATCACATAGGCACCGCTCTCAATTGTTAGCTTTTTGCTGGGACAGCATGACAGTTCTACAAAAGCAGCTTTAAGACCTAGTGAAAATACAAAAGAAAGCAGGAAGGAAAAAGGATAATTATATATATATATAATTATATATAATTGGAATTTCTATTCCATCTGTGCAGCAAACAGCATAGGCTCTGCTGAATCAGGTGGATGACATAGAGGATACCAAGTTAAGCACTGAGGATTTAACTTGTATGAGCCATGTATGAAAGCTTTTCTATCTGAAGTTGCTTGAAATAAATCAAGCTAGGAAATAGATACAACATATGAAAACTGCACCAGAATAGTGTTGGTTTGGTTTTAATTTTTATTTTTTCCTCATTCAAATCCCATCTGGTCTCTGTATATGTGTAAGAGGAATAAAGGACAGGGATTTAATTTCTAAGTGCCTGCTTCTAACCCAACTCTATTCAAACTGTACATTCAAAGGCTTGCCTCCTTGGGTTCATGATTCTCCATACTGCTATTTAAATTATAAATCACCCATTCAGCAGAGCACAGAATATACCCCATTGCAACACTTTGAAGTTCCATATTTCAGCAGCACATGGTCTGAGAAGCAAAAGAAGCTGACCTGATCTCTTCCTAGTTACTTGGGTCAGGAAGAAAACACCAACAAAAACTTATGCCTTTGGCATGCCACCTCTTGGCTCTGTTGTTTGTAACCATCTTCTTTCAGGCCTGGAAAATATGAAAACCTTGCAAATCACTTCTCACAATGGACATAATTGTCCTACTGTATATGACCACCAATCAAGTAATGGAATTTCCTCCATACAAAACAACCACTGCAGGTCCAGTATTTTCGTTAACTTCTTTTACCAATAACTGTATAGCTTATAACTCTGCCAGATGCAACATTTCAGACAGAAAGTCTTTTTGAAAGGTAACAACTCTGCTTTGATTTCATGGGAACGATTAAGTCTTAAGAGGCCACTGAAGATGAAGAGAGCAAATCACATAAGGCAGCTTTTATGCTCTCTATTTCTTCACAAATTACAGTCCAGGCTAGGATTTTTGAGGATGACTGATGCAAGGCTTTCTCTCACATAAAAGAAATTCTTAACCTAACTAATACTTTGAATAATATCTATAATTTTGCTGCACTTACACTTTAAAAAATGTGTGACAAAATGACCTGCCACTTGAAAAGAAGGCCATGGGAGGACATGAGGAAGCGAAAACTAATAGTCTGCGTACATTCCAATCATCTTTTAAAAAGTCCATCAGCTACAAAGTACATGGGCTTTTCCACTTAAAAAAAAACTGACTACCTTTAGAAATTACCAAATTCCCAGAAAGACAGATGTAAGAGAGTAAATCAGGCCAGAAGCCTTTTAGAAAAATTTCTTTTCAGACTAAGCAAAAGCTGAAGGACTGCACAAATTACATTTTACCTGAGTTACAGAGTGATAATCAAGAGAAGAGGTTCATTTTCTATGTGTAACATCTGATTGCTAAGGACAGAGACCACCATGTTCCCCAGGCTCAGGTGAAATGTGCCTGACTATCTAAGGTCATTACATCTGGCAACTCCAGAAGATGCAGAATGAGAAGCTGTCTGTTATACATTCTGAGGTCTGATTTGCTCTGCCTCAGGAGGCTGCTGGCCTTTCTGGATTGTGTGGGGAAACTTTCAGAATGAAGAGAGGAAACATCAAAAGAAAGTCCTCAGTGCATGCAATGGTATTTGGCAGATGTCAGATAAATCCTACTTTTTTCAAATAAAATTAAAAACCAGACACCCACAACGATGCAAATGTGATCCACAGACTGGAGACCCAAATGCACCATATACTCCCTCTGGCTCAAGAGGTTTTGAAAGCCTGTGGCAGTCTCTGATTGGCAGTAGTGCGAAGTTTGACATTAACATGAAGAGGCCAAGACTACAGTCATTGTTAATGACAACAGTCTTAATGACCTTTAAACTTCCTGCTGCTACTGACACTTAGTTACCAAGTGTTACCTAAACATAAACTTCTGTTAAGCTAATCAGTATGCAAAATACAAAAAGTCGCTCTTATTTCTTCCTTAGGACTACACCCTGACTATGTACTTCCAGCAGTCCTGGAGGGATAAAAGACTCTCTTACTCTGGAATACCTTTGAACCTAACTCTGGACAACAGAGTGGCTGACCAGCTCTGGGTGCCGGACACGTATTTCCAAAACGACAAGAAGTCATTTGTCCATGGGGTGACGGTGAAAAACCGAATGATTCGACTCCATCCAGATGGAACAGTCCTTTATGGCCTACGGTACGTTGGGTTTTTTAACCAGCTATGTGGCTGTCCTAGCAGAATGCAACTTGTTATTGGTAAGTGCAGGTAGTACCAATGCTGCTCCCTTCTCCTTTTTCCTGGTTTCTGAGTGCAGCTTAATGAGTTGGCACATACTCTATCCAGACTGCCACAACACACTCAAGAATTTTCCTCAGGGCATCAAAACTACCTTTGGTAACTAGCAAAGCCCAATGCTCTGTCTCTTTCAGTTCTTTTGAGCATGTTAACACTACTGATGAGTTCTTTGTTTTGGTTCTTACCTAGTAATTGATCACAGCCTAGAGAAACATTCCTTCCTTCTGAATTTCTACAGCAGTTCTTTAGAACAATGTAAAATGTAAAACTGGGAGTCATCTGAAGAAATGTGACCAACATTTGGTAGGGAGTAAAAAGAAGGCATTTGTAAGTTTACATGAATTATTTAAAGTTTATCTATATGCCTCGGTACAGGTTCTTTAATCTGCCTTGGTTTATCACTGCCTCTTCATGCCACAACTGCTTCTTCATACGGTGCAACCTATATTCACCCGTGTAGATAAAAATATATTTTAAAATCTGAACAGGCACAATCTAATGATAAGGTCCAGAAATGTAAAATTAAAACTAAACCAATTTATTTGTTGAGATTGCTGCCGAGCTTTGCATTATTTTTTAAAAAGTTAAGGTAGTTTTGCTTAGGGAAAAAAAGAAAAAAAGTCATAAAAACCCAACTGCCTGAAACAACCTTTGATCACTGTCAACAATGAAAATAATGTCCAGAGAACATAAACCTGAATGCAAACTTCAGTTAAACAGAAGAAAAAAAAGTAATAAAGCAGAAAACCTAACTGAAATACTCCAAAATCACACCTAAGATAGGGTTGGAAAAAAACCAAACTGCTGCAGCAGTTCAAAATGAAAATAAAGTTTGGAGAAAGATAACTCGGAGCTTGCTGAAAATAGAACTTTGAAATGACCTCTTGGCCTATAAAAATATAACCTTTATAACACAACACTATCCATGCACTCAAAGCCTTCCAACCCATAAATTCAAGCTTGACAAGACAGAAAAAATAATATAAAAATTATTATTTTGGTTCATCATGCTTTCCTTTGAACTTATTAGATTCACTGGTAGTGCATCAATTGCCACCAGTGATCACACAGGCATTTTGATAGAGCCAGATATGTACTGGTGCAGAAAAACGGCTCCTTCAGTTGTGAAAAATAAAACTAAGAACCCATGAGGAAATAGCTGATAGACTACAGGTTGTCATTATCATCTGCTAGAAAGAGCATTTGAAAAATACATCTTTCCCGTTGCCTTCAGACCTCCTACAGTTCCTTTCAATCAAACTGACTCCTGAAAATCAACTTCACAGAGCAGTTATCATTAGAGGATTTTGGGGCATGAAAAGTTTTAGAATTTAAAAAAAATTTTATTTTTTTATCTTTTCTTGATGCCAGGAACAAAATTTATTTACATTCCATGATTTGCGTAGTGGCAACAATGTGCATTAGAGCCAAGTAGTGCAACACAATCAGTTGTAAACAATATAAACTACACCTAGAAATGTACATTACACAACTGCTTCCACACACATGCCATACATCTGTTATTAATTATGGTCTTTGAAAAAATAGCAAAAGAAGCTGGGACACACCTGGTGAATCTGCTGCAGGTCCTCTCATGTGCTTCATCAACAAAGTCCAGCCTGGCTGGGAAGCTGTGACCTTGCCCAAGCATAATGCCTTTGCTCTTCCTCTCAGAGGTGGTCAGGCAAACCTCCAATGCAACAGAAAAGATGATCATCTTCACATAACGAGGTTGCTAGTTCATATGATTAAATAACCTTTCACACTTGAATTGGATAAGCAGCAGCCATGCAACTGCAACAGCTGCAGCTCTTCAACTTAATACCCCATCCAATACCTCGCTGCTTTCAGTAGGAAAACCAAACAAAACCGAAAACCAAACAAAACCAAAACCCAAACAAAAAAAAAACCACACTAAAATAAAGTGCAATCTATATTCCACACACTTGGAGTCTAGTACTGCAGTGGCGAAGCTAACAAACAAGCAGAAGAAAGAATGAATGTAAGGGGCACCGAAGCAGGTTTCATACAGCAGACCACAATTATTGCACTAAGTCTGCATCTATCAGTGGTCACTTTCCTCACAGTAATAAATGCGTTTCTGTCACCTTACACATTACCTTTAGATCATACAAACAGCAATTTCTTCATATACCAGATACCACATACAGCTTATAAGAAATAAAACATGAGAAAACAGTGCAGAAAATGTTCTCAGGTAAAATTCTGCATTGCCTGTTAGAAATTTTACAACGGCTCCAATCTTAGTCTAAAAAGTAGAGAAGAAACTGCAACAGATCAGCTTGTGTTTAGCCACTATGCAGCAGAGAGCATGGAAACAGCATCACCAAACATCTCTTCTTTGCTTTTAGTACTGAAGACAGAGCATTGACCTGGCACTACTTGAACAAGACAGACAACACCAATTATGCTGCAGAACAGTATGTGAGTTCCTAGCAAAATAGGCAGGGCCTTAAACCATCTCTCAAGGATGATTTAAATGCTTGCTTTCCCCAATGCCTCTAATTCCCCACACATTTTTCTATTTTCATTCCAGACTTAATGCTTCCTTTCAGGCTCAGATATGAAATTTTACTGACATCTTTAAACACAAATTGAAACAATCATAGCAGTTCTAAATAACCTACTTTGTTTGTATCCATGTACTCGGCAGTTTAGCATTAATGCAATGTTCAGTCTCAGAACTGAAGAAAAACAAACCAAGGTTAATCTTCTGGCTTTACAGATGAATAAACAAGGGAAATTTGCACTGAATATGGTGGACTGGTTTTAGATCATATAACAAAGCATTATCACACTTCAGAATGTCTTCGTCCTAATATTTCTGTGATGAAATAACCAGTCCCTTTAGCTATTTTTTTCCAGTAACTTTCAGCTGCTGTATCCACACAGTGTAAAGAATGACGTGTGCATAAACTTGTGCAGACACAGAATACTCCATACCTTCTGGCTTCTAAAATAGTGCATTGCTGTCATGTCTTACTGAAAATGCTACTTCTCTTAATTATTCACAGTAGTGAATAATGCATAGCATTATTAAATAACTCTTTCATGCTGTTGCCCAAGCAACTAAACACACAAACATGTTTAACTCCACATTAATATTTCCACTGAACTCCATTTCAAATATGCCAGAAAAGTTGAGTGACACTGTTAAGTCTTACGGACTTGTCGTGGTTTAACCCCAGCTGGCAACTGAGTCCTACTCAGCCACTGACTCACACATCCATCCAGTGGGATGGGGCAGAGAACTTGTAGGGTAAATGTGAGAAAACTCCTGGTTTGAGATAAAGACAGTTTAATAGAGAAAGCAAAAGATGTGCATGCAAGCAAAGCAAAAAAAGAATTCATTCACCACTCCCCATCAGCCATTTCCAGGAGAGCAGTGCTCCATCACATGTAACAGTTGGGAAGGCAAATGCCATCTCCAGATGTCCTCTTCTACTTTCTTCTTCCCCCCAGTCTTATATGCTGAGCATGGTGCTCTATGGTATGGAATATTCCTGTGGTAATTGGGGTCAGCTGTGCTGGCTGTGCTCCCTTCCAGCTTCTTGTGCACCTCCTACCTCACTGGCACAGCATGAGAAACTACAAAGTCCTTGACTTTGAGTAAGCTCTGCGTAGCAACAAATAAAACATCAGTGTGTTACCAACATTATTCTCAGAATAAAGCTGAAACACAGCACTGTACCAACTACTAGGGAAGAAAACTAACTACCCCAGCCAAAACCAGGAGAGCTATTATATTTTTCTGTGGTGTAGCCACCTGCTTCCTAAGAGAAAAAAAATCCCTTCAAGTCAATATGCAAACATGCAGCACTGTAAGGCTGGTGTCTGAGATAGCTCTAGCTTGGTCCCAGTACAGCTGGCAGAAAACTGTATTCTTCGTTATTCTTCCCCCCATTTTTAATAAGTCATCAGATCCCATTAGCTATAACCCTTTTGGCACTAGCAGTGTGTCTAATGCCTCATTACTTTCATTGCTTTTTCAGGTGAAATTCTCTAGAAATATCTCCCAAAGATCTAGATTCTCAAACCAACACATGTTGCTCTTTCTTTTGCTTGTCTTTTGTCCCTCTTTCCCAGGTAAGATGCTAGACATGTAATTTGTCTTTAAGATATTTAAGGAAAATTTAATAATTTATCGTACTGAATTACATATTACAATTCTTATGTCATGATGTCGAGAATGGAAGTTCTGATTTAAATCATCCTTTCCTAGTATTTTTCTGCTGTGTCTTAATTCTTCTGAGCATTTCATTAGCAGAGCAATAACAACTTGTTGCTTCTTAAGTGTCTGTTCTGTTTATTTTGAGGCAATCTCATGATAATATCAGCAGAAGTTCATCTGGTGTTGGTAAAAGAAGCAGATCCTTCAAAAGGATTAGTTGTTAAGAAGTGCAACATGCCTTCAGTGATACCTTTACGTAGATTTCCCTCCTTTCCAGTGTTCACACACAAACCCATCTTCCATCAGAGCAGGTATTCATTTATTTAAAAGCAAGGAGTAATATCATGACAAGGAGTGAAGATCTGGTTTGGAGCGTGGAAAATTTGGTTTTAGCAAGATCACACATTTTTAGACCCCTGCAGCAGAGGATGCCACTTTGCTGGGCCCTGCAAGGGGACACGGGGAAGAATGATCTTTGCCTTCAACATAAGGACTTATTTCACCACTTACATAAAGAAGGTATTCTGTGGCATATATTGTCAGACAACATTGTCAGACACATCCATCTACCTCAAACCATTTCAAAAACATGAATTGAGGCATGCAACATTTGATTTACTAAATACTTATTCATATGATATCCATGGGAGCCATTCTAGCATACCCTTAAAGGGGAATACAAGAAAAGCTATATTTAAATGCAGAATGCTTTGGTTTTAAATATAATCTTAAAAGTAAATTTGAGTGTAAACTTCCCTTCCTGACTCTCTTTCAGTGATGTATCTGAGTGTTAATAAAGGAATTTTACAGCTACCAATTTACATCTTTTAGTGCGGTGAAAATTTACTGCTTTATGGATTGGTTTTGTATTGCCATAATTTGGGGCTATGAAGTTTTGGGTTTCCTCCAAACACCTTAATGGATTTTATTAAAGAGTTGAAGTATTTTGAGGACATCCCATCATGGCAACAAGCAGCCTACTTACACTGGTACTTAGAAGATTGTCCTCACCTGTGTTACTAAACAGATCCAGCCAAAAAGAAAACCAAAACAACAGAGACTGCAGTCATTCTAAGTGATAAAACCCCATCTCATCTAACTGGAATATAAAGCTACTTTTTATTTCACTCTACAGACAAATACAGAACAACTTATAAAGCATTCTTTTATCAAGCATAGAGTAGCTTTGGAAATGATACGAAAAGCTATTTCTTCCATGTGTCAATCCCAAAAGATGTAGCAGCAGGCATCTTAAAAAAAAGAAGTAGTAGTGTCATGCTGGAGTAAAACATCCAAGGAGGGGCAAGACATTAGATCACAACTGACACAGAAGACACTACTTTTCCTACTTGGTATTTTCATATGTGGTTATATGTGAACCACATTGCAGTATTAAGGCTACAAGAAGCAATTTGGGACTTTCTATATATTTTTGAAACAAGAACTTTGCAAAAGCAAGTCAATCAAATATTTGTCATTTCTTCTATATCCCAAAAGATTTGTGTCTCTGAGGGTCAGTTTGCAGGATTCACAGGCAAATGAATACATTCCTCAATGTACAGCTAATAAGAGGTACAGATGGGGGAAGCATTTCACGTGTACATTGTGGATGCCAGTTCAGCCTGCCACAGGTCACACTGGACCTGCTGCAAACTTTTTCCCAATAGGCTATGTTTAAACAAGCAATCATACCTGACAGGCAGCTAGCATGGTCCCTCATCACAGGAGATGCACTGCTAAAACCACTTCTTTAATCAGAAGGGAAAATAACAAAAGATGAAGAGGACACAGCAAATTGATCCTGAGGAGGCTGGATTTTCCTTTTAGCTCTTCCTGCTGGTTGCAGACTGTTTGAATTGTCTCTAGGTCTCTCTCAATCCCACTGTCATCTCCTCTTCCTACTTCATAGCCCAGTCTTTGGGCATAGCATGGCTGATGCAAGGAGATCATAGAATCATTTAAGTTGAAAAAGACCTTTAAGATAATTGAGTCCAACCATTAACCCAGCACTGCCAGTCCACCACTAAACCATGACCCTCAGCACTATCTACACATCTTTTTCAATACCTCCAGGGATGGTGACTCAGCCACATCTCCAGGCATCTGTTCCAATGCCTGGCAACTTTTCAGTGAAGAATGGGGTTGTTGTGACCTAAGTGTAGGACCCCGCACTGAGCCTTGTTGTACCTCATACAACTGGCCTTAGCTCATCAATCCAGCCTGTCCAGATCCCTCTGTAAAGCCTTCCTACCCTCCAGCAGTTCAAAACTCCTGCCCAGTTTGGTGTCATCTGCAAACTGACTGAGGTTGCACTTGATCCTCTGGTCCAGGTCATTGATAAAGATATTAAACAGGTAAAGATATTAAACAGAACTAGTCCCAGTACTGAGCCCTGGGTAGCACCACCTGTGCTGCCAGCTGGATGTAACTCCCTTCACCACCACCCTTTGGGCTCTGCCATCCAGCCGGTTTTCACCCAGTGAAGAGCACACCATGAGCAGCCAGTTTGTCCTGGAGAATGCTATGGGAAACAGTGTCAAAGGTTTTACTAAAGTCTAGGTAGACAACATTCGTGGCCTTTCCCTCATCCACTAAGCAGGTCACCTTGTCACAGAAGGAGATCAGGTTAGTCAAGCAGGGCCTGCCTCTAAAAACACCCATGCTGACTGGGCCTGGTCACCAGGTTGTCCTGCATGCGCTGTGTGACGGCACTCAAGACGATCTGCTCCGTCAGCTTCCCCAGCACCAAGGTCAGACCGACAGGCCTGTAGTTCCCCAGACCTTCCTTTACGCCCTTCCTAGGTGAGTGAGCAATGAACAGTACCTTAATTCATAGAGAGAAGGCAGTTAGTAACAATAGCGTATGCATGGAAGATGGTATGTGTGGCCAAAATATAGCTGCATTTATTAACCAGGCTTCAGTAGCTGTAGAGAAAGGGCTATTTCTTACCCTTAGCAATTTGCCAGAGGGGAAAAAAAGAACCAAAGTTCACTTATGCTCTCTCATGCTTGACCAAGGACTCCTCCAGCCCACATGTTTATGAAGTCAAAACAGAGAACATCTGTATTTACCTGACTGCTGCAGCCCCCTTAATATCTGGTGTTGCCATAAGCAAAAATGCATTTCCAGGATTGTTCGTAACATGTGCAAAACCAACTAATTTGACACAGTCCACCTCATGTCATTTGCCACACACTGCAGTTAATTCGACAGAGATTGCAATCTGGTTTGTGTGATGCATCTTGAGAAAATAAAGAAATATATAATGTCAATACAGCTACATTCTGCAATTTATTGCATGAGGCACAGTAGCACTCAAGCAGGCACCGGCATACCAAGATACAGCTTATTTGTCACACAGAAGGTGAGGGATGGGCTTGTCTAAATAATGCTGAAAGCCCAAGGAGACAGTACAGGTGTAGTCTGTCTCATAACTCTATGCAAGAACAGTGAAGGAGCACCAGGGAGTGAGACACTCTCAACATCAGTGATTTTTACTGAATGAGTGAGAAAATCAACTGAAGAACAGATACATGCTCTATCTGAGGGGGGAGAGTGTGGAACAGAAGAGAACCCTGCAGAAATTAAATTGGCTTGCTTTGTTTTACTGGTGTAAAGAAAGGTGTATTTATGTTCAGGCACCAAACAAAAATAGCAAAAATAAAGAAAATTTAACCCAGCCACTCCTGAGCTCACAAAACAACACTGCAGTCCTCTAGTCCCCTAGTACTCTGTGATTTATTGTTTTTAATGGTTGACTCCTTCCCAGGTTGGGTGTCCCCTGCAGCCATCTCACTTGCTAACAGCAGACAACACAGCAGAAGCAGCACAAAGCTTTACTTCCCCACTGGGCCTATTGCATTTCAGAAACACTTCTTCAGGTCCAGCCAGACTTTTCTGCAGCATAGATGTTGAAGCCCATGTTTACACTCTGTCAGCTTCTCCCCAGGTGTGAACATTTCTCCCCAGACCTGCCTCCTTCAGCTCCTCCTAGGGCTCTTCATGCCCAGCCTGTACACCTAATGTACTAAGATTGGAAAGGACAGAGTGCTACAGGATGTTAAGGATGATAAATCAGTGGGAGACCAGCACATTTAGTCCATTTGCTGCATGAAGCTCAATTCATCATTGTTTTACTTCTCTAGTATTTAAGTTGGGCATTAATGGGAAACTGTGTACCAAGTTGCTCTATACCCATCCCTGGAGGCTGCTGTGGACTTCACTGCTTAATGCCACAGTTAGAAATCAGAGACAGCCTCAGTTCAGGGACCTCCTCGTTCTGGAGCGGATGGATTTGTAACCTTTTTGCTATGTCCATGTAATGCTGTATATACAGTGAAATGCAATCTCACTACCACTTTACTCACACATTGTAGCATACCAGTCAATACAGGGTTTTATCATTTCTTTAACATCATTTGATGAAGAATACACAGACTAAGATGGCTGTAGTAATCTATAACTGAAAGCACACAGACAAAACTGAGGAAATTTAAGTGAGTAAAGCTCTTAAACATATGGGGCATCATTTCTGTATACCTTTATTACTGCAGGTAAACCAGAAAACCTGCAGCTGCTTACAGGCTCCTATGTGCAAACAAAAAAATACTGCTTCTGAAATACTGAGGTTTTATTCAGTGTCAAGCATGAAATGTAGCATCCCAGGCTTGATAAAATGAAGTGGTAAACTGGTAGTTAATAAATGACACAAATGGAAAAGAAAGAAAACTAGTAGGGTCCTCTCTGGCTGCCAGGGCAGGGTAAGATGTCCTAGGTGTAATTCAGAGACAGGCTTGCTGTCTTCCTTTAGTATGAACGACCTCAAGCAGCCAGGGGGAAGCCACCAGCTGCCCATCCCAGAAAGAGATGCTCTCCTCACCACTGACAGCATGCAAACAGAAGTCCCTCCAGTGGCATGCACTGCAAATCTCCCCTACCTCTTACCCCATAAAATAGCAGATGTGGCAGAAACACCCAGCTCTGCAGGAAGCAACTTTTCATAAACTCCTACTGAATTGTCATATAATGCCCTGTATTTTATTTGGAACTCCAATTGCAGACAACTTATTTTTTATTACATTATCAGACAGAATTTTTTTTATATTAAAATAATCTACAGAAGGTGGGGAAAAACTGCAGGTTGAATGAGTCCTATAGAGAAAGCATAAAAATACCCCAACAAACACACAAGTACTTAACGTGGACTCAGCTTTAAATATGCGAGCAGTGGCTCTTTAATCAGTAGTTAAGTACATAAGCAGTCTGGTAGAATCAGAAGAACTAGCTTCATGGGCTTGAATTTAAACACAAGCTTTAGATGCTGCAATTGGTTATGGCTATCAAACATAGCACTTTGAAGAACTGAATTATAAGCATTTTATAGAGCAAAGCCTACTAGGCTTTATTCAAAGACCACTTAATCAAGCAGATTCTAGATCAAACTTAGATTACTGAAATTATGTCACCTATTTAAATATCTTATTGTTAAAATACTACTTAACCACATGAATACTATCCAAAGAACGATACAAAAAAAAAAATTAGGTAACATTTATCAAACATTTAATTTTAAAGTTGAAGGACATTGCAAAGTATGGATTACATATTTTCCATGCAGCATGTCATCTCTTACTGTTTTGGTTTAAGCTGGTTTTGGATCAGTTTCTTCGCTATTACACAGACTATGTTCTGCATACAAAATCTGAGCAAGTCCTCCCTTTCATATTAGAAGCAGAACTTTCTTCCAACAGAATTACAACTCTGCAACTGTCAACCTAATCTGTACCAAAAATGTACTTCTAAATATAATTGCCTTTTAAAAATAAGTAAATAGTAAAAAAAAATTAAAGAACTACATTCACACCAAAGCTCATTTTTAGTGCATTTAAACAATTCTATTACTTATAGTTGCTTCAAACACATTGGGAGACAGAAATTAAGTAAAAATAAATATAATGGCAGAGATTAATACTAAAGTACATTTGATCAAGAAGAATTTCAAATAAATTTACATACAATCTTAGAATCACTTCAATCAATAACAGCGTGGGCAATTTTTTGAGTATGTCTTTCTTTACTTGTCTTTACAGTGTCGGTATCAGATGAGAAAGGGGCTTTTGTATGTTTACCATCTCAGTTTTCTCCTCTCACAAGCCATAGAAGCTCATGCCTGATAACCTGTTAGGTGTACAGATGTCTTATACTTGAACAATAAGAAAGAAAATCCAAGTTTTTCACAAGCGACCTATGTGACTCCTACTCTATCAGTGTGGCCAGTTGCATACTCACCATTGCAACAGCACTTATTTTATCTTCATACTCCAGAAGTTAGTGCTTAAGTTTGAATAACTTCATAATATTTGCTTTTTCCCTAAAATGCTAGATTTTTAACATGTTTCTTGCTGTTCATATTTGGGCAAGGAGCACCAGATGGACATACAAGTTGCATTGCTTCCATTTTGGAAATAAAAAGGTAAAAGCTTTTCTAAAAAACACTGCAATTTAACTTACAGAGCTGGTATATATTGTTAGCAGTACAGATTATTTAGTACATGCTTTCATATAATGCTATGTAGAGGTACATAACAGTACAGATACATGCTGAATCCTGATAAGTTAATATATTTTAGTACATTTCATATCAGCGTATGTTTGGTACATACCACAGTTTGTGTGTTTTCCAGGTCTTGAAGTTCATTAAAAAAGCCATTTAATAAAAAGCAAATCCATTTCTTTCTAATAATAAAGGATTCAAAGGGACAGTAATTAAAGTTGTACTTTGCTGCAGATTTCCAGTTTGCACGCTATTAATTTTGAGCATGCTGAGAATAATTATTATTGAGGAAGAAAGCGTAAATTCATAGCTGCTCAAAACCAACCTCACTCTCATTTAATTTATATTGATGCTGACTTGTGACACCAGTGAAGTACCTGTTCAACCAAAATCAGAGGGGCTATGGGTGGGGAATAAGTC